AGACTATGTTTTATAGTGCAAACAGTCTTGTTGGCAAAGGTTAGAGACACAAATTCTGTCCTCCATTGTCTGGTTGAGTCAGACAATAGAAATGCTAGAAACCCATTAAATAACAGGAGCAATGGTGAGGCAAGCAAGGATAATGGATTTAGCTGTTGACAACCCAGATAGCATGCGGATGTGGGCCACTTAAGGCAATAATATGGCACTGCTGGCCTTCTTATGGCCCGGACAAAATGGATGTAAGCCTGAAGTGGCCCATATGTAAAACAGCAAAAATGACCCAAATGTATCAAATCACATGTGGGCCTCTGTAGATAAAAAGTTGTGGTGTTGACGGCAATGTGTAATCTGAATGTGACCCTAAAGTGGCCCATGTGGTAAACAGTGATTATGGCCCAAATAGTGCCAACCAAATGTGGGCCACCTTTGGCAAAAATGTGGCATTATCGACAAAAGCCAATCAGGGTGTAAACCAAATGTGGTCCACATATGTTTCAGCAAATGTTTTGGCAAAGATATGGCACAGTGAGCATTGGCTAATGTGGCTGTGAGCCTAAGGTGGACCGCATATAATGATACCAATGTGGCCCAGTTATCCTAAAGCGTATCTGGGCCAGTTGTGGCAAAGATATGGCACAGTAAGCACTGGCTAATGTGGCTGTGAGCCTAAGGTGGACCGCATATAATGATACCAATGTGGCCCAGTTATCCTAAAACATATCTGGGCCAGTTTTGGCAAAGATATGGCATAGTAAACACTGGCTAATGTGGCTGTGATTCTAAAATGGCACACATATGATGCCACAAATGTGGCCCAGTTATCCTAAAGCATATCTGGGTTAGTTTTGGCAAAGATATGGCACAGTAAGCACTGGCTAATGTGGCTGTGAGTCTAAAGTGGCCCACATATGATGCCACAAATGTGGCCCAGTTATCCTAAAGCATATCTGGGTTAGTTTTGGCAAAGATATGGCACAGTAAGCACTGGCTAATGTGGCTGTGAGTCTAAAGTGGCCCACATATGATGCCACAAATGTGGCCCAGTTATCCTAAAGCGTAATTGGGCCAGTTTTGGCAAAGATACGGCATAGTAAACACTGGCTAATGTGGCTGTGATTCTAAAGTGGCACGCATATGATGCCACAAATGTGGCCCAGTTATCCTGTGTGTTCACTGCTGTGTGTGTGCACTTAGGATGGGATAAATGCAGAGCACTAATTCCTAGTATGGGTCACCATACTTGGCCACATGTCACGTCACTTTCTCACGCTTTTTTTTATATTATAAAACAGATGAGGACCACTTCTGATTGTAACACTTGACAAGTGAGACCACTTCTTGGATGTAACACTTGACACTGGCTAATTGAAATGGAAGCTTGAAATTGTAAATATGGCCTAATAGAATTTGGCTAATTTTAGTAGGATGCAACACAGTTAACTGATGCAGGGTTATCTGGATGTGAGTCACAGACCAAATGGACCACTTATAACATGTTTCTGCAGTTGTTTTTGAAATACAACATCTCCTTGTGAAAGATCTGTAATGTGACATATATGTGACATTGGGCGTTTATGATACATTTTTAATGTTACATATATGTCACTTTGGGCATTTATTTCTCAGTTGAAAAAAATATATTTTGTCAGTTGTTTTGCTAAATATTTTTTTTTCTGTTTATTTGTTTTTCCACAACATATATCAAAATTATTACTTTTCTGGGAAGATAAAACAAAAACCTTTTTTAGAAGTAATACAGTTTTGCATTTTATTTGCTTTGCCACAACATATTTCAAAACCACATAACTGTGACCATTACATTTTGCAACAACTCTTTTGTAACATATTGAAATAAATATATGAACATATATGAAATAAATAACTACCTCACACTGGAGGTTAAACATTGCAAAAATGTGTATATTGTGCAATAAAACTGTAAACAAACAAACAATACAATGCTCAGTGAAAAAAAAAGATCACTCTGATCAAACCATTGTTATCACCTTCATCACTTTAATTTCTTCTATGCACAATGCAATAAGTTAATTATTGTATGCAAAACACTGAATAGTTAGTTCTTAGCATTTATTGCTATGCAACAGCATATATGACTTTTTTCTCTTCAATGTCTTTCTCTTCAGTTCAGAGTTAGTTGTATGCAATGCAGTGTTATCATGTGTTTTCTCTTGCTATGCAACAGCATATATGACTTTTTTCTCTTCAATGTCTTTCTCTTCAGTTCAGAGTTAGTTGTATGCAATGCAGTGTTATCATGTGTTTTCTCTTCACTGCACAACGGACTAAGTTACTGCAATGCAATATACATGTTATGTGTTATCTCTTCAATGCATAACAGATGAGTTAGTTCATTCATCGCATCACCAGATCAGTTATGTGTTATCGCCTCTATTCATTATTCATTGTTTGTTATTCTCACTACAAAAAAGATAAAATAACCTTAAAATAGGACCAACATATGATATAAACATCTTGTTTTAGTTACAGGTATGCAAAATAGTTTCAAAATACATTTAATTATCAATGTAATTAATTTGACATTATTTTTATGTTTACATTTGTTAAAATATGATTTGAAATGAGCAGCAGTAAATATATAACACTAAAATAATTGAATCAGGTAAATTAATTGAGCAGCTCATTAACATTTTTCTTAATGTGATAAATACGTCACATCACAATTCCACCTACTGTTTTAAGGTTAACAGCCCGATGTGACATATATGTCACCACAATATTTTCCTAACTTGTTTTATATCAATTTGTTCAAGAAATGTATTAAAATCAGGTTAAGTGTAATCTAGGATACGTTATTAAAACATTAGAATTGTTGCATGGGTTGAAACATACCTTTAGTAACAAAAACAAGCATTTTTAAAAATTGCTGACACTGCAACATGTGATAACCAGACAGGCCACCATTTTGGAAATGTTGCCATGGCAACAAAAATGCACAGATTGTCACATGACTGAACCTGTGTGTTCCTTATATGTCACTTATGCCGAGTTCACACTGCATGATTTGCAAACTCGTCGGATCGCCGTTGTTTTCACACTGCGTGACTATCTGGGTCATTTACACTGCGTGATTGTCACTCGTGTGAACGAGCACCGATTTGCCTCCAATTTCGGGCATTTGTTGGCGATTTCGCAAAACCTGTCGGTGAGTGAAAAATCGAGCTAAAATCGTGCAGTGTGAACTCGGCATTACTGTTACGGTTTCTGTTAATTTGAATCTTGGTTTTCCTTTTTCACCATTTCCCTTGTTGTGTTGATTGTATTATTCTGTTCAGGTGTGCCTAGTTAATTATCCTTGTTTGGTCTGAGTACTTAAGTTCCTGTATGTTCACTTTGAGTTTGCCTGGTCTTATGTCTTAAATGTTGCTGTACTACATTGTGTTTGGATTTACCCTTGTTGGATTAAAGCTTTATGCTATATAACTTGTTATCTTCGTCGTGCACTCTTTAACTATGTAGCTATGACACTCACAGACTTACTGTGTAGGTAGAGTCTGAGTGAGAAGCATTTAAGTTCAAACTTGTGAAGAACAGTTTTTAAAGTATTGGAATGTGTCTTTGAATATTTATCTGTGACATTTTAATTGCTGCTTGTGCAAAACTTGGGTGGGAATGTTTTTATCAAGTAGGACACATTTCTGGAACTTATTTCAACATTTATGGAGGACATTTTAAAATTTCTCTTAGGGAGGACATTTTAAAATGTATCTTTACATTATGTTAAGTACTGTTGATGCATAACTCACTTAAGGCTTAGTGTGGCCCAGATAATGTATATTTATGGTTTAATTGGTTCATTATTTGCTAAAATGTGGCTGTGCAGTGGCCTACTTGTGGACCACTGCCAAAATGCCACCATTCCATGCAGCATGTGGGCCACTTAAGGAATGTGGGGAAGACCAGGATTAGAATAAAAATCAACTGTGGCCCACATTAGGAGTAGTTTTGGTTTATTTGGTTGGCTTACATGCAGCAATGCTAAGGCTTACTTGAGGCCCAAATCTGGCAAACAGAACCGGACTGCCCAAATGCCATTATTTCACGCAGTATGTGGGCCGGAGCACAAAAATCAGAATCAGAAGAATCAGAAAGAGCTTTATTGCCAAGTATGTTTGTGGCCCAAATCTGGCAAACAGGAGCGGACCGCCCAATTGCCATCATTCCACGCGGTATGTGATCCAGATGAAAGTGTCAGGTGTGGGCCTGATCTGGGTCTCAGGAATTTTGCTATCTGGGAAGACTGTTCAGATCTTCAAAATCTGCCTTATTTCAGTCATATTCACAACAACAAATGTATACCCTCATATATATATATATATATATATATATATATATATATATGTGTGTGTAGATAGTGTTTTGTAAAATGTGTCGATTTGGATAGGCAGAAGAAACATTTAAAAATTCCTTGCACTTCAGTTTAAAGAGAGTACTGTGTGTTTACAGTGTTAGGTTAGTAATGGAGTACCACAAATACAACTGATGCAGTTATGCCTGAAGCAATAACGATTTACATCCTTTTATTATTATATTTTTATTAATAAAATGATATTTGTTCCACCCAAAATGAAGGTTTACTCACCCTCAGGCCATCCAAGATGTAGATGATTTGGTTAGCTGTTTGAACTCTCATTCTGATGGCACCCATTCATTGCAGAGGATCCATTGGTGAGCATGTAATGTAATGCTAAATCTGTTCTAATAAAGAAACAAACTCACCTAGATCTTGAATAGCCCAGGGATGAGTACATTTTCAGCAAATTTTATTTTTTTTAAAACTATTCCTTTAATGATAATACCCTCATTGTTCCATCCAACTGCTAGTTTAGCCAAAAAAACAAAAAACAAACAAGAAGTGTGTTTGTAATTTGTGGACATTTCTTATATCAAAATGAATTTCAGTGTATTATCATGTTGTTTTTTACTAGATATCGTACAATGGAAATACCTTTGTATCACTAAACTGAAGAAACTTTTGTCATTTCTTTTGTTCTCACTCCATAAACAATTGGGTTGAAACAACTTGGAAAATGTAAGTACATTGTGCTTACAAATACATGACTACTAGAAGAAAAATAGTTTCTTATTCTGTATGACATGAATGCAATCAGAGCAAAAATCAAACTACCTGATATCACAATTAAGTAAGTAATGCAGGTGTTTATGGCCTTCATTTGGGCCTTACCAGATCTAAACACAGAGGCAAAAATCACAACATATGAAGCAGCAATAAGAATACAATCAGCAGTTGGTATCAGGAAAGCAGTTGAAAGTCCTACAATGTTATTAATAGTTATATCTCCACATGCTAACTGAACCAATGCCATGTGCTCACAAAAACAGTGATCAATGACATTTGTTACACAAAATGTCAGTTTTCCAGCCAGAGAAACCATTGTGACAATTAGTAGTCCATTTCTTATTACTGGCACAACAACGGACTTTACAAAGTTAGGGATTTCCATGTATTTATGATAGTAAAGAGGTCTGCATATGGCAAAGTAACGATCCAGTGCCATCCACAAAAGCAAAGTAGTTTGAAATGCTCCAACAAAGTGAAGGCAAAACATTTGTATCAAACAACCATCTACGGATATCCCACCCAAGTTGAATAAAAAGCTAAAAATCATATTAGGTAAAATATAGGCAAGAGCAAGTCTATCACGACTTCAGTGATGTGTTCTAATCTCTGATTTTTTTTATGAGAAACATGTACAAATTGTCAAATATGCAACATATACTTTGAAAAAGAGATTCATTTAATTGTGTAATGGTGTAGCAATAGCATGAAAAAAGCATGTTACCAAGGGATCAGAGTTTGTATGGTTAGTAGGTCAATGTGGGCCCTTTCTATGTTGATAGCAAATATGTAGTTAGAATGACTACACATATTGATTTGCACATTTTGTACAAAAAAAAAAAAACTTGCTGAAAATCTTCATGCCACTTTTTTATGCATTTGCTTATTTTGTTACGTTTTGACTGACAATTAGGAGTCATGGTGATAAACCTTGTGTATCTTTGCCCCCTTATGACAGTAGTTAGGGAACTCTTAGAAATTCATCACTCATTACTGGACTTTGTTTGGCTAGACCCATCTCAAGAGTCACATTAAGTAGCCAGTAAACACATTAAGTAGCACTCAAGGGGAACAGGCTTAAGATTAGATTGGACCATGAGGCACAGTTGACATCACCAAGGGTCCAATTATCTTATTTTTGTGTTAATTAGACTCTGACCACTTATTATCACAAGTGATGTCATACCTGTATACTGAAACAAAAACAAAGATTTACATTTCATGACCGGTCCCTTACAGACCAAAACTATATGGGAATATACTGTAAAATATAATGCGATATATTACATAATACATTTCCATATATTGGAAACTAGTGCTTATATTTTTCAATATATGAAAAGCGACAATTCCTTATGTATTATTCAATATATTGTAATATTTTTACACAATATATTATTCTGTATAATTTCTGATATACCATTATGGCGTTTAATATATTGATCATTCATATATTAGGAAATATATTTTCTTTGCGTAAGGGGTCAGCTGCTGATTTTGTTTACTTTTAATTTATTCCATATCATTTAAAAAACACAACAGGTTTAAAAACAATATCTAGATAGCAACATGACAGTATGTGTCTATAGTTCACCAAAAATAAACAACAGAATTAACAAAATGGAGTTTTGATTGAGTACAAGGCATTACTTTTGAAAAGTAATATGACCAATTCAATGCATGACAAAGATGTGTTGGCACTTACTTTAATATCTTCATCCAACATGTCGCATAGATTCTTCATGACAAGCTTGACAGCAGTAGCTGGACTTCAGACTACACAGAAAGTTTTTAAATATCTGAAGGCACCAGGCCTCAACATTGCGAGTCCTTGAGTACTCACAATCAGTACTCATTCCCAAGAAGACCTGCCAAGGCTTACAGTAGACTCTGCCTGTCAGTCAACACTCAAAAAGTTTGAAGTTCCACTCAAAAAGACTGCATTTTCACTGAATGGGAAATTATTGTGACATGATATTTTCCTCCTAATTATTTTCATGTTTCCTTTGTATTCCACTGTAAGTAAATGAAAAAATATAAAACATACTGTGCATTTGTGGTCTGCTCTCCCAATTTGATTTACAATATAAACCATGAATAATTCCCTGGAATGCACTAAGAATGTTTAATTTTTCTCCCCAAATCCTCATGTCTCTTTCCAGGTTTGTTCTCACATGAATGCTGTAAAATGTAATTATTATGAAATATAGACATATATTACTATAATGATATGATAATTTTAATGAGTTCATAGAGCGAACCTTTTGTTGATTGTTTAGTGTAAATGGAAGTTACTATCATAATTTGAGCAAAGCATCATGGGGGCATAGGGAAAAGGTGGATATGTTATATAAATCAAATTAAATGCTGTATCGGAGCACTGCCTTTGTACTTTTGACTGAATTGCCTAGCAACTTTAATGAAGCATATATTTAATTTAGAATGGGAAACGGTGTGTGTGTTCATGATGGTTATTAGTTACATTATTTCGCCATTAGATATCGAAAGAGACTGCGACAGGGTTGTAAACAAGTTCACTTTCAACAAAACCTTGTAAGACGCAGCCAACAAATGCACTGAGCAGTGCTGTCATCGGAAATCACCCTTAACAGATGAAAGGATAGTACGACAAAGATATCGCTTTCCTCAGCGGACATTCAAACTAATGTATTATTGTGAATATGAGATTGAGCTGAAGACTGAATGCTGTATCAGATGCAGGTAGTCACACTCACTCAGTCCATCTCTCTCATAATACTCGATTCTACATAATACAGTGAGCTTTTATTACAGTAATACAATAAGTTTTTAATGAAGCAACTCAACGTTCCTTCATTAGTTCTAAAGTGACGTTTTCAATTTAGTAATGGAGGCTTGGGCTCAGCTGTTAAACTGTCAAACTGAGATATGAATCTGAGGCGGAATGAAATAGTTCTGCATACAAAATGTTATTTAAAGATACTCCGTGGTTGTTTCTTATTTATTTACACACTTGTGCTGTCCAATTGCGGTAAAAACACAATATCACACTCTTAGCTGAGTGATATCGCTCTGTATCAGCATTCCCTATGGCTGACTCACAGCTATGCTGATATAGTCATATATACAATATCACATGGCTACGAGTGTGATATTGCTCATATATTATATGAAAATATACAGATAATGTGCAATATAAGTAAGCATTCATAAATAAGACTCAATATAAAGCTTTAAAAATGTCACTGTGGACCTGTGTATACAGTATTATAGACTTTTTTTTTATCTGGCACTGATTTAGCCAGATGTTTTCTTTTAGTCATTTCCTTTTGAGATTAACACTTCTCTTCTTGCTGTGTAAATGTTTAAATTCTTAATAATTTTCATAAATATCAAATGGCGACCAATGAGGATCAGATGCAGGTAATCTCACTCGCTCAGTCCATCTCTCTCTCATAATACTCTACATAATACAGTCAGCTTTTATTACAGTAATACAATAAGTTTTTAATGAAGCAACTCAACGTTCCTTCATTAGTTCTAAAGTGACGTTTTCAATTTAGTAATGGAGGCTTGGGCTCAGCTGTTAAACTGTCAAACTGAGATATGAATCTGAGGCGGAATGAAATAGTTCTGCATACAAAATGTTATTTAAAGATACTCCGTGGTTGTTTCTTATTTATTTACACACTTGTGCTGTCCAATTGCGGTAAAAACACAATATCACACTCTTAGCTGAGTGATATCGCTCTGTATCAGCATTCCCTATGGCTGACTCACAGCTATGCTGATATAGAGCAATATCACATGGCTACGAGTGTGATATTGCTCATATATTATATGAAAATATACAGATAATGTGCAATATAAGTAAGCATTCATAAATAAGACTCAATATAAAGCTTTAAAAATGTCACTGTGGACCTGTGTATACAGTATTATAGACTTTTTTTTTATCTGGCACTGATTTAGCCAGATGTTTTCTTTTAGTCATTTCCTTTTGAGATTAACACTTCTCTTCTTGCTGTGTAAATGTTTAAATTCTTAATAATTTTCATAAATATCAAATGGCGACCAATGAAACCAATCCTGTAACCCAGAGTTTGTTCAGCCAGCTTCATTTACACACATACATTTACACAATGTAAACAGATGTGACATAATTTACACCCAGCACCAGAATACTATAGGAACAGCCTGCACCATGATGCTTAGCTCTTGTACAAATATAAATATATATATAGTTTCTCCAGGTCAATGAAAGTGAAACTGATAGTCTTGTTTTCTGTCACCTTAGCACTGATTCTTAATTTTAAACTATCTGCACATACCTTTGAAAAAACATCTTGCTGTAGTCTTTGACTCCGAGCTTAACTGTATACATTAACGCTATTTGGTATGATCTCCATTTGCCAAAGTCATGTGTTCAAAACAACATACAGAAATATGAAGAAAGAATGAGGTACAGTCAAAGCACTTACCGTGGAGGAGATTTCGCAGAGGTTTCTTATACTGATAAAGAAAGTGTTAGAGGAAGCATGTGAAAGAGCAGCCTGTAGTGTGACTTGATGTGCATTGCTTATATCAGTCACTTACAAGCGAGTCTTCATACTTACCAGAATTGTACATTACACAAGGACAAAGTCAATAAGTCACAAAAACATTTTTGTGTACTGACACCAATGCCATCAAATTGATCCTCGTTCACACAGATCCATGCAAATGACTAGAAAAACACTGTATTATTCATGCCAGGTGATCTAGATGTAGTTAGTGATCGGACTAAAGAAACACTATGCGCCTGCGCACATACTAACCCTTTATCCTGTTTATTTAAAAAAAAATGTATGAGTATGAGTTTTTGTCTCATATTTATATCATATGATAAGCGATATCACACAAGCTGTGAGAGCAATTACACGAATGGTTTGTCCCAAATAGCATTAGTGCAAATGTGATTTTACGCAACAGTTCAATAAATAAGAAGTTAATATTGTGTTATATTTTAGACACAATATTGTCTGTTTTTGCTCAGTTTTGCCAACAAAAATATTACCTGTAAAGCGATAGCAGAATTGTTGTGGGTCTCCGAGCAACACAGCAGTTTAGTTTCTGAATGAATCCGCGTTTTGAACGAATCGTGTGAATCAGTGATTCAAAAGCCCATTCATAAAGTGATCTGTTTACTGAATGAATCAGCCTTTTGAAAAAATCAAATTAATGAATGACTCATAAAGACATTTACCGCCACCTGCTGGCAGTTTTAGCTTCATGTTTAGAGTATTATTTCATTTTAAAAAAGGGAAAAAACATTAAAGGGATAGTTCACCCAAAAAAATCAAAGTATGTCATCATTTACTCAAACCTGAATGACTTACTTTCTTTTGTGGAACATAAAAGGTGTTTTGAAGGCTGTTGCTATTATAGCCGTTTTGGTTACCAATGACTTCCATTGCATGAATGAAAAAAAAAAAAAAAACTCAGATGTTTCTCAAATTATCTTCTTTTATGTTCCATAGTTTATTTTAGGCCGTTGTAGCCTAAATGTTTATATTGTAATACATTTTATGTTGAATCAAGTAAAATATTTATTTCTAAAGCTTTCTATTTGTAATGTCTACTTAATACTTTCTAATTTAACACAAAAATAGCTTTAAATAATCTTTTGGGGGTATTTTCACAGCCAAATATAATTTATATAATATAATCAACACATCATGTAATTAATTAGATAAAAAAAATTAATTGATTGACAGCCATAACACACACACACACACACACACATAAATTTATTTAGGTATTTATTTATGTAAATTGCTCTGGGAATCTGTATACATTATAGTACACAACAATATAAATATAGCTATCTTATTATATATCTTTATTTATATATTATATTATTATATATTTACCTATATATTATTTATTTGTTTGCTTGTTTTTTCAAAAAGATTTTAAATATGAATGAATTTTATATGTATGTATTTATATATTATTTTGTAAGATACATTTATTTATATTTTATTATATATGTTCCTTTTTAAATAAATATTTATATAAAAAGTTATAAATAAATAAATATATATTTTTTTATCATATAATATGTCAAATATTTCTTCACTTCTGAAATCTTAAAACCAGAAATCAGGTTAAATCAGAAATCAGCACAGAAATTTGTCATCTGACTATATGCCAGATGCAGCATGTAATAAAGGGTAAGGTAAGAAAGCTAATGAAATGTAGTTAATACCTTAAACCAGTTGTGGAGACTGATTTTCTCCAATTCAGTCCGCTTTTTTGGGTCGCTCTGCAGAAAACAGCAAATAAAAAGCAAATGAGAGAAGTCTGATTATTATTTTGAACTTCACACCTGTTCTCTTTCTTTGTTCTACTTTGTAAGATCTCAGTTTACAAATTGATCTTTGCTGAAGCGAAGATCTCACCCCGTGACAAGCCATGGTCCAAATGTAATCACTGATCTTGTCCAGATCTCAAGAGCAGAATGACAATCCAGCTGGTGGCCTGACCGGTCCTTGGGTGCTATTTTTTTTCTAAATTAAATTCTTAATGGAAACAACAGGCGCAGAACAGTACTGTACTCCCGAGTATCTGATCATACAGCGAGTACCATGGGGAACCAGCGACGGTTTGGTCACTCGGGATCTTCCTCTTTACAGTGCTGTGTGGAGATTTTCCAGCAAGACGAGACCTGGACCAGATCAATAAGTACATCTGGACCAAAGATGGCCTGTCAAAAGGTGAGATCTACATTTCAGAAAAGAACAATTGTAATTGTAAATCATACAAAATAGCACAAAGAAAGAGCAGGTGTGAAGTTCAAGGTAATAATCAGACGTCTCTTCCTTCTTTCTGCACAGAATGCTGCGATTGTATTTGCTGTTGTCTGCAGAGTGACCCAAAGCAGCGGATTGAACTGGAGAAAGTCAATCTCCACAAATGGTTTAGGTATTAATTACATTTGATGATGATTTTGGCATAAGCTTTTTTATGCTACCTTTCAGTACATACTGCAAGTGTCATATAGTCAGATGACAAATTTCAGCGCTGTATGTTTATACCTTCTGTAATATTTCCAATTTATGTTTCCTCTCTTTGTTTGGTTTTATGTTTTTGCTTTTTGTGTAATGTATTTAAAGACTAAACTTGATTTCTGGGGTTTTTTCAGAAAAAGAAAATAGTGTAATTTAAATGACAGGAAGCTCTGTGAAGGCCATGACAGGAACCTAATGCTGCTTCAAGCCCCCCCTTAATATCCGTGATTAATATCCACAATTATGCAAGAAATTATTCGATTTTCAGAAGTGGATCCCATGCATGCAGTTGTTGCCTGCCGCATGATAACCCAAGCCAAATCCTCTTCAGTGTTCGCTGTCTGGCTGAGGACAAACCAGTCCAGTTCCTCAGAGGGCATGGGCCGCTCTAGGACCATAATGTAGCAGTCCAGCTCCTCCTGCCAGTCCAGAAGCTGGATGATTTCAGGAACCCTGGGGCCTTGATTTACTCGAATTAACAGAGCGACCTCCAGTGGAACAGGTTTTGGATAACCATCCTAGAAGAAAAACAGTGGTTATGGATACAGAACTTAAACAAGTCCTGGACAAACTGTTGATTAAGCTTGAAAAATCAAAAGATCATCATGAAAAACAGAGAGAACAAAGACTATACTTACAATGCTGATGAGTTTCTTGTGCCTTTTGGAGATGAGTTTTACTGCTTCCCAACCCTTAAACTCAGCTGAATGCCAATTTCATAGCTGCATGAATTGATGTCTGGTAAAATATAAATAAGAGACTTTTAAAGATTCACTACAGGACTATTTAATTGAACTGTGGTAGTCATTTAAGGTGTAAAATATACATTGTTACTCTACATCTTCTTATCATCGACTATAAAACAAAGTGCATGTTAAAGTAATGCTTAACTGTTAAACTGCTGATTGCAGACTGATTCATGTCTAAATAAGAACAGACTTTGTCTCAAAAGTGTGTGTGTTTTATGTTAGGCTTATGGTACCAAACTAACCAATAATTGTCCACTTGTCTGCGATCTGAAACAAAAACAGAAATCAGGTTTATTACTGTAGGTCTTAAATCAAAACAGATAATGTATAGAAAACAAATGCACAACAAAGAGAATCAACATTCTTAAAGCTTAAAAAAAGGGACATTTAAGAACAGGTAAATTTCAGAAAATCTAAACATATAGTGCTACAACTTGTCACCCGAGCAGTGTATGAGGATTGACTATATGATAGTTGTAGCATGTATTGTGTATGTAGCATAAGAAAGCTTGTGTCTATAATCTATTTAAACCAAATCAAAAATCCTTCAAAATCATCAAAATGTATTTACCATAAACCAGTTGTGGAGACTGAGTTTCTCCAGTTCAATCCGCTGCTTTGGGTCGATCTGCACACAACAGCAAATAAAATTGCAGCATTCTGTGAAGAAAAAAAGAGAGACATGTCTGATTATTACCTTGAACTTCACACTTGATCTCTTCGATCAACAGTCAAATGATCCAAACGACCATCTTTAATTAAGCCATTAGTCTCAGATGTTCCTGAGAATGCTTCTGTTGCTTTATTCTATCTAGTAAGCTTCATAATTGCAATTATCCTATGTTATAATGCAGATCTCACCTTGTGACAAGCCATCTTTGGCCCGGATGTAATCTTCCATCTTGCACAGGTCTCGTCTGTTTGGAGTTTTCTGGAAAAGTATCACGAACAGGAGGATCCTGAGTGACCACACTGTCGCTGATTCCCCGTGGTACCTGCTGGTCATCAGATACTCGGGAGGACAGTACTGTTTTGTGCCTGGAAGAAAGAGATGTTGTCTGATTTGTACATTTCTATTAACACTAGATATATATATATATATTATAATGCAAGAAATTATTATCAAAAAAGTGGATCCCATTCCATGATGAGAGCTCGACTCACTCACTCGAGTCCTGTGTGAACGGCCCTTAACTCATCACCAAAGTTTGAGACCCACCTTACAGCTCTGAGAAATCACATGTACCAGCAAAGGATGTGTAACCCGCTTCAGTAAGGAAGTCACCACACCTAAAGTCGATCAGTTTGACTTCAAGTGTGCTTGGGTTAATCAGAATGTTTTCTGCCTTAATGTCGCGGTGCAACACTCCACGTTGGCAGCACGTCTGAGCTGCGGATGTTGCCTGGCGCATGATAAACCGTGCCAAATCCTCTCCAATGCTGCCCTTGTAGTTCTTTATAAATTCATACAGACACTGAGAGGGCATGGGCCGCTCTAGAACCATCATGTAGTAGCCAGGCTTCTCCTGCTAGTCCAGAAGCTGGATGATTTCAGGAACCCCGGGGCTTTGATTTGCTCGAATTAACAGAGCGACCTCCAGTGGAACGAGTTTGGGATAACCATCCTAGAAGAAAGACAGTTGTTATGATGGATATAAGTCCTGGACAAACTGTTGATAGTCTGTTGAAAAATAATTTATAGTCTGTGATTGTTAATATGAGATTTTGAAAACAGTTGCAATAAATGCGTTAAGGATCCATACAACTGCAGCAGTGGAGGACTATTATTCTGTCGAATATTCAAGCTGTTTATTCATTTTTCCACCCATGAACGAAAAACTAAAATTGAAGCTGAATTTTCGTTTTTAGTTTTTTTGGAAAAAAACGAAAAAAGGAGCCGTTTTCTCATTTTTCTACTTTCAGTATTAAATAAAAAAACGAATGATCAAATGATACACGGATTATTTACGATTCATTTGTGTGCAGAATTCATATTTCAGTCATTAACTGTGAACATACATGTACATTGTAATGAATTCTAAGCAAAAGGTGAAACTGACTGAGGTGAAACTCTGTCCTCTGTCTGACAGACTGTAGCTTCAGGGATGTCAACATTACATTACTGTTCGACTCAGCATAGAATACAGCTGGAGGGGCATCATCCTCGCTGTCCGGCTCAGCATAGAATACAGCTGGAGGGGCGTCATCCTCGCTGTTCGGCTCAGCATAGAATACAGCTGGAGGGGCGTCATCCTCACTGTCCGGCTCAGCATAGAATACAGCTGGAGGAGCGTCATCCTCACTGTCCGACTCAGCATAGAATACAGCTGGAGGAGCGTCATCCTCACTGTCCGACTCAGCATAGAATACAGCTGGAGGAGCGTCATCCTCACTGTCCGATTTAGCACATACTGTAGTTTTTGGGACGTCAACACTACAGTCAGACGTGGCACAGTGTAGTTTTTGAGACTACTCCTAAACCTACCAATACTAGGGGGTGCATAATCTGGCAGGGTGCAAATTTCGGCACTACACCGGCAAACACGAACTAATCTGGGCAACACTTCAGCTGTTGATATGATCCAGCCAAAGGAAATTTGCTGACTGGGTCGCTCTCCGCGCTACCACTTGCAGCGGTCTGTCGCGCCACATCAAAGAGCGTAAAAAAGGCATTTACGGATTTAATTTCCTGATAAAATATACATAATTTAAAAAATGAGACTTTGTTTCTTATCGAAAAGAACAAAACACAAACCTTACGATTACAGAATGTAATGTATAGTAATAATGTATAGCCTAGTGAAGATCTATTCACGGTTATGAATTGAAACGGATTAAGTTCCGCTCGTGCAGTGGTTAAAATTACACTGTATTTGTTCGGTACAATTTTCGGTACGAATAAGTGTACCATTACACCCCTAGAAAACATTTAGAACACCAAAACTGCACTTACCTGCATACGAATGTGTCTGGGCAAAGGCTGTTGTTGTAAATAGGGAGCTTTTTCATCATCTTCTTCTTTTTTAACGGCGATTGAAAGAGCAAGCCATGCCATACCTAGGCCAAATGTGACAGCTATCAGCCACATTTGGCCCAAACGTTCTTGCTATCTGGGTATGGTCTAATATTGGCATGTATTGTGCGCTGTAAATGTAGCCTATAAGTTGTTGTGATTTAAAAATTAATTAACATGCACTTTACTGATCGCGAGCACTAGAAAACACCATATATGACCATTTATTGTTTAATAAGTGTTAAAACTGTGTTATAATTGTAATTCTGCATGTTATATACTACATAGAATATTAACCCAGTGTAAGTCATGCACAGGGTATTGCAGGTGGGAGAAAGGACGTATGCATAGCTTGAAGTGCCTGGTGTTTTTATAAATAAAAAGGAGGTAAGAAAAAAATCAAAACATAAAATATGAGGGAAATAAAATGACTGGTGTGTGTGTGTGTGTGTGTGTGTGTACATATATGTTGGTGAAAAATGTGTATCCAGAAGTGAGATAAATCTGACAAAAACTCTTTTAAGGACACTGAGGGTCAAGGGACACCCTTGACTGTGAGTTGTAAGAGTTGTTGTCATACTGTGTTTCACCCCTAAGTTTTCTGAAACGGAGGCTAAGAAAAGTGGTGAGTGGTTAATTTTGCTTTTATTGTCAATACAGTTTCTATTTTCTCTTCTGTGATGAAGCAGTTATTTCACAGTGTCTGAAGTGCACGGCCTCATTCACAGAAAATGATAAACTGTAACATAGGCCTTTCATAAGGCATAGGCATTATAATGTATATAGAGAACTTAAATTCAGTGATGCAGTTCAGTTGCTGATACTCATAATACATATTGATAGTAGGCCTACAGTAGGCCTATATTCATTTTGTGAAAATACAGAGATTATGATAATGGATACAATGAGGGTACTTTCATTGTAAAGTTTCATCAATAAGTAGTAGTTATAGATGAGGTTATAAGTGTTTCTAAAGATGGTTTACATAAATGTTAATCACAATGGTCACTGTAATAACACGCTAAACATATTCACAGAGACGTGCATGGTACAGTTACACAAGTTCTTCTCTTGCCAGTGATTAAACATATTCAACCACTAGCAATAGTCTTATCTATAGACATGCATGACAATAATCCATTTTTATTTATTTATTTTTATAATTTGAAAATGTAATGAATTCATCTATTGTTTATTCAGTTTTGTGGGAAATGAGAATATATAGTATACATGAACATTTTGATTGTCACAGCATGTAGGCAAACAAGGATGAGCTGGATCTCAATGCAGTTTAATTTTTATTATAAACAAAAATGAAGATAATCCATGAGGAAACAATGAAAACCACAGGCAAATACATACACACACAAGACAAAGAACTGAACAAACTGAAGATGATATTTACAGAGGATAACAAGGGGTAAAACAAGAAAAATGTGTGCAACATTAGCAGTGTCCTTTGCAATAGACAAGAAGCAAGAACATAGAAAACAGGAACAAAACACAGCAAATCCATAAAACAGAACCTAAAAGTCCAGAAAACAACATAACTGACAGTAATAAAAGTATGTTATTTTTTAATCAGTATTAACTACCAGCAGTCCTAATACTAATACAGAGTGAACTGTGAGTATAATCAACTCAGGCACATATAGTGAACAAACTCACAATCACCTTATACAAAAATATTTCATGCATTGTATTTGCCAATCAATATGTGGTAATTTTATTAAATTTGAAACATTTCACAATTTGAGTTCTAATTTCTGTGGTTCTGAGACCATAAATGATAGGGTTACATATTGCAGGAACGAGATGATACATTGCGCTAGTTAAGATACGTGCATCTCGGGGTATTGTAGCTACTCTATACCCAACAAATGCAGCGGTAACACTGATATAGGCTATTACTATGGTCATTATGTGTGTGGTACATGTGTGAATGGCTTTATGGCGGGATTCACCAGAAGGTGAGCGAAATATAACAACAAAAATGATGACGTAAGAGCAAAAAATCAGAAAACAGTCAGCGGATGTTATACCGAAAGCTACTGTAAGAGCTAAATAGTTTTTAGTAAGATCATTACAAGCTAGATTAACAACTGATGTATGCTCACAGAAACTGTGGTAAATCAAATTTGTTCTGCAAAAGGTAAGTGGCACAACTAGACCAACCATGGCAATAATGCTAACAGCGTTCCGAATGCTAAGAATTGCGAAGAAAATAAGAGAGTTTGTCAAACTTACAAAATCATTGTAACGCAAAGGATAAATAATAGCAAAATATCGGTCCACAGCCATCCCAAGTAAGATGGTGGACTGGAAACAAGCAGAAAAATGTAGACAAAACATTTGTATTAGACATTCATGCCGCGTAATTGTATTAATTTCCCACAGAAAGCCAACCAACATCCTTGGAATAAAGTATATTGGCACAAAAAACCCTAAAGCTGCAATCAAACCAATTAGAATATACATGGGAGCATGTAATTTTCTCTCTTTTGCAATAATGATAATCAAAATGCCATTAGCAAATAATGTATAAACTAAGATGATGCAAAAAGGAATGAAGAGTAGCGGTCGGTACCCTTTTAGGTCTGTGAATCCAATCAACTGGAATTCAGTAAAAGAGAAGTTGACTGATCGGTCACCCATTCCGCTTTTTAAAAGTGTGCAGTACAGACCTTCAAAAATAAAGTAACAAGAATAAACAGCAGTTATTCCTCAGAATTTGTAAGCTATTTAATCTCATTACACTGAATGCATTTATTAATCATATTAATGATAAATATTTTAAATTAATCTCATTCTCCAATACATAAAAATGTAAACATTTTAAAGACAATCTAAAGCATAGCTCAACAAAACAAAGAAAATACATGGTTACCTATACAATGTATTAAGCATAAAAAATCGCCAAGAAGAAATCAGCAAAATTATTGTTATTCATATTTAGTTTAAAGCTCTGCTGTCTTCCAGTATCTGTCTGTTCTCTGTTCTGCCTCTCCCTCCACTGAGCAAACTCTTCACTGCTCTTAAATACTCTGTCTTTACCTCCCCCAGCATTGCACAGGGATTTGGGACTTGTTAAATTGGAACACAGTTAGTCACAACAAATCTTTTCTAACAATGCTTTTTGAAAGATTGCTTGGAAGTACAGATATATCATCCGACATTCAACATAAGTGCTGCAATAAATAAATACATATTCAGTATATGGGTAGCTGATGCACAATGATGAATAGAGATTAAAGAATGTTATTAATTTATTTGGGAATCATACTAAAACGTACTATTTAATTGCTTTGACGCATAATAAAATAATAAAGAATAAATAAATGGCAAATTAATGGCATAGTAAAAATATAAAAAGATACTTGAAATGTCAGTGTTATTAATTCAGATTTAACTAAACACAAACATTAACTTAAAAAAATTAAGTAAAGAAAAAGTAAATAATTTTTGTTGCCCAACATGCTCTGCCCCACACAACTGAAAAATTGTGGTGAACTAGGCTGCTTTAAGATACTATTCAAAATCACTAACAAATCAATGATCCCTGGTCTCATTCACTTTCATTGTATGGTAAAAGCAGCATGGCCATTCTGCAAAATATATATTTGTGTTTCACATGTTAATTGTGTAATATACAAAATACATGAGTGGCACAGTGGGTAGCACTGCCACCTCAGAGCAAGTCATGGCTGAGCCTTTCTGGGTTGAGTTGGTGTTGCCCCACAATTCAAAGACATGCAGCATCTGTCCGGGGTGTTTCCCTGCCTAAAGTTTGAGATGCTGGGATAGGCTTCACCATCCACGTCACCCTACAGTTCTGTTTCTGCAATAGTTACTAAGTAAAAAAACAACTTTATTTACAGTTACAACAGTTACACAAGTTCTTCTAATCAATCAATAATTTTTATTTGTATGTATTTTTTATAATTTGACAATTTAATGAACTTCCCACTTGTAATGTTTTTTTTCAGACATGCAAACTTGGAAACATGCGCACATGGGGATCTTCATGTAAATTGCCCTTTTGTTTACTTTGTAAGTCAGTTTATATTCATTAACATTTACTGTTTGAGCAACTTGGTCATGAGTGGCTAATTATTAGCAGCTGTGTCAAGTGGATGGTTATTTAATTAGCTCTGGAGTGGTTAGAAGTGTCCCTCTCTTTGCACACTTGATCACTTTGGGAATTTCTGATGATCCCTAAGCTCATTTACTCTGTTATCACTGCTTAATTTAGAGCTCTTTCATTGGCGTTAACATAATGAGCATAATAAGTTTGAGCAAATGATCAACCTGTGCCTTCTCATGTAAACAAACAGTGACAATGTATTTGAAACTTTGAAATTAACTTAAACGTATAACTTAACTTCTTTTTTTTCTCAAAATACCAAGTGCAGATACAGTCATCCTGGATAAAGCTTTGGATTAAGTATCTTGCTAAAGGGCACAATATCAGGGCATCAATGTAATGACTAAAAAGCTAAAATATTAATTTTCTTAATACATTTTGCAAAGGAAATGGATCTAAAACCATATATTACTTGCTGAAAAGATGAGAATGTTTTGCTTCTACTTTTTGGATTGTTCCTATGAACAACAGGATTGTTATCTTTGTAACTCTTTTTACCTGGGTCATCCTATTTTAAGTGTGAACCAACACACCTAAAATAGGGTGTTAGCAGGAAGGATCTAATCTTAAAGGTACAAGCACACTGATTCCATTTCTTTGAATTTTACTTTTATTAATTTTCATAGAAATGTCCATTTTATAGAAAAAAAAACACACACAGTGTACCCATTTATTACAGTGTTGATGTAAAAGCTAACCAAAGTGGACATTAGTTAGTCAATCAAGAGAGTTTTCTTTACTAACAAGGTGTTTATCTGAAACTCACAGTTGAACAGACTTAAGTTTCTCAGAGTGTGCAGATTAACATGGTTTATTTGGTTATGATCACTGTTTCTGACTACTTGTCGAACTACAAACATTTCTGTTTCATTAGCTGTGATTACTAGATAGAAAAAGTGTCAAATTAAAAGTCTGCCCAGACACTCAAATCTTTATCGTTGAAACCTTTACAATAGAAACTCTATTAATATTTGTTTTGAACATTCTCAATAAAGCATTCCTTATTTCTTTTGTCCGCACACCATAAATGATTGGATTGACACTTGCAGGAAATACTATATACATCACACCCAGAAAGGTATTAACATCAACTGGGATTGGAATGTTAAGATTTCGAGAGAGAAAAGTAATACTACCTACAAAGTAAAAGCACATCATAACCATTAAGTGTGTACCACAGGTATGAAATGCTTTCCAACGATCCTCTCCGGCTGCAGCCCCCAACACGACATGCAAGATTTTTACATAGGAGAAGAAAATAACAGATATGTCAATTCCCACAAAACAGATAATCACAACCAATCCCATTGCATTATTTTTGCTTATTGAATCACAGGCCAAGCTAACAAGAGCCATGTGGTCACAGTAGCAATGATGGATAATGTTAGACTCACAAAAAGACAGAGGTGCAGCCAAAGCGACCAGTGTAAACATTATAGTGCCACTCCTGATCAGTGTGAAAAGAAGCACTTTCAAAAACATGGATGAGTTCATGATTTCAGTGTAATGTAATGGCTTGCAAATGGCCACAAAGCGATCTAAAGCCATAGCTAAAAGTATGGTGGATTCTACAGAAGAAAAGAAATGAGTAACAAACATTTGTGTCAAACATCCGGTTAAAGATATCTCATTCAAGTCAAAGAGGAAACCGAGAAGCATTGCTGGGATAATGGCAGTGGGTACAATGATGTCGACAACCGCCAAAGCAGACACTAGTATGTACATAGGACTGTGAAGACTTTCGGTATTTCTGATCACAGAAAGTAACAAAGAATTCCCCACCACAACCAAAACGTAACTTAGAAAAAATGGCAGGAAAAGCAGACGTCTGTGTCTGTAGATCTCTGGAAATCCCATAAATAAGAATTTTGTATGTGAGATGTTTGCTCCTTGGAGTTCCTCAATCATGGCACTCTGATTGTGGTGACAGCAACCTATTTCATAGGGTAAGTACAAAAGGATGATTATTTATCAGGTAATTCAATACATATGTTTGTGGTGAGCCATATAATTCAGCAACACATCATTACCTCTATATTAAACATTTCATTAATTGTTGACGTGGAAACTAGACACAATTACTTGAAATTACAGCAAATGTATCATCTATGAAATATCAATCAATTGTCTGGTGCATTTTAAAGTCTTTTCTAGAACCATATACTTGTTGGCACTTAACAACTTTGTACCCAAGCTATTTCTCAGCCTAGCTGTACAGGCATTAACTACAACAATGTATTAACTACTCTTTGTAAATTAGATGTAAAGAAAACTGTCAACAAAACAAATAAACAAGTAATTGTGAAAGTTAAAATTCAAAAGTAAAGCCAAAAACCACAGAGAATTCTCACTGATTTATTTTCAATAGACATATACATTCATTCCTAATGACATAAAAATACATGATCCGTTTTCGGTTCAATTTGGTCATAATTGCTCAGAATCCACTGCATGGTGAAACGTACCTGACCGAGTTTCTTGGTGTCTCTGTCGTTTGGTAATTCACCTGTAGAGCAGATGCCCCCATTAGGACCTGAGGCCATTTGAATGGGAGCATATATACTGTACACTGAGTTTGATCGCTGCTCCCATAGGAATAAGACAAAAAACTATACAGCCACTTACATCATATATTTTGACCTCACTCCAATCACCTAAACAAGCATGAAGGTATTGTTCCAGGAAGAAGGAAGCAATTAGGCTACCTGATCATTTTTGTTCGGGTTAATTAGTTCTGCAGAGGGGGGGTCAGTAAGGCAGCTTGAACTCTTGCAACATCCTTGACAACAAACATATTTTAGCTCCATTGCTTCATTGTACTATCGTCCTGCACCTATAAAAGTATTAAATAACTAAATCAAAATATTGAGAATTAAAAATAAATATAGCGTATACTCAGGGCCGGATTTACCTCTTTTCGTGACATAGGCAAAACACATTTTTGGGCCCCCCTTCCCTATTAATATAATAGGCCTAATATTACCACCCAAGCAAACAAAAGTATTTCTTAATCAGTGGAAACAGTTACAGTGTTTTCGCAATAAGCGCGTGCGTTCAGTCAATAAAAATCTAATGTAGTTCTTAATTTGTTGAGAACTGAGAAAGACCGTTCCATATAAGCGCTGCGTTGTGGCCACATAACCACTTCGGGAGTGCATTATTTCTCTAATAATTTTAATGGACTGGAGTCACAACCTGTAACGCCAAGCCAGCAGAGGGAGCCCTCGCCCGAGTACTGACCGTGCTCCACTCCCTCTGCTTCCACTTCCTGTTTTACTCTCATATAAACTGAGACCAGTCCACGTGCTGATTGCGAAGTATTGCCAGTTTACCTTCCTTACCAAGCGTTATTCTTCCTCTGTTCCTGATTGATTTCCTGTGTATGATTCTGCCTGACTTCTGGACTCACGGTATTTGTACTCTGCCCCTTTTGTTCTGACGCCTGATAGGACTGATGTTTGTGTTTGGACTCATTGCCTGCCTCTCCACTATTGTCTCTGCTTCTGCCCTTGTGTATGACGAACGATCTGCTTGCTTCTCTGACTTTGACCCTCTGCCTGATTATCGACATCTGTTTAAAGCCTTGATCTTTAATAAACTTCCGCTCATGGATTCTAACCAAACTCCAGCGTCTCTGTTACAGAATACTTCGCCTCCTATGAATCCAGCGGAAGTGTCGAATCTGCAAGCAGCATTCTCATACCAAGCTGAAATGCTCCAGAAATATCAGGAACAACTCACCAAGCTGCAGACCGTCAACGAACACCTGACGCACTACATTCGATCTCTCCCTCCACCCACTCCTAAGACCGTAAGTCTCGCTCTTCCTGACAAATTTGACGGTACCGCTGAACAATACAAGGGCTTCATTCGCCAAGTACAAGTTTATCTGAATCATCAAGGAGAGAGATTCGAATCAGAGGGCACAAAGTGCGCTTTCATCATGACACTGTTGACGGGCCGAGCTATCGACTGGGCAGCAGCCGTTTGGGACTCGGATTCACGCCTGAGGAATTCAGTGACGTACTTCATTCAACAACTCCGTGAAGTGTTTGAATATCCTCACGGCGGAAAGGACGTTTCGACACAACTCATCAATCTGACACAAGGTAATCATTCCGCTGCTGAGTTTGCCATTGAATTCAGAACACTCGCTGCCCAGAGTGGATGGAACGATGTCGCTTTAAAAGCTATGTTCCACAAAAGTCTCAACTGCGATCTTCAGGCAGAACTTGCATGCAAGGGTGAGGAGTCCTCCTTCTCCGATTT